AAAAAAAAAAAAAAGAAAGGTGTGCGTCAGGATTGTATCTTTTCACCATACTTACTCAATCTGTATGCTGAGCAAATAATCTGAGAAGCTGGACTTATGAAGAAGAATGTGGCATCAAGATTGGTGGAAGACTCATTAACAACCTGCGATATGCAGGTGACACAACCTTGCCTGCTAAAAGTAAAGGGGACTTGAAGCACTTACTAATGAAGATCAAAGACTACAGCCTTCAGTATGGATTACACCTCAACATAAAGAAAATGAAAATTCTCACAATTGGACCAATAAGCAATATCATGATAAATGGAGAAAAGACTGACATTGTCAAGGATTTCATTTTACTTGGATCCACAATCAACATCTCGAAGCCCCGAGGTGCATCAGGAATGGGCCAAGCTGAGGTCAGAAGGAGCCCCGAGATGGGGCACCCATGGGACCCCCCATCTGACAAGCACCAGTGCAGCCCCTTACCCTTCCTCCAAGTTCCCTCCTGGGTGGGCACAGGAGAGGGTGGGGTCAGCAGATGAGCAGCTAGCTGCAGTTGAAGGTCAAGGGCGGAGTCCAGGCCTGGCCATCATGGCCTCAGAGAAAGCTCTGGATTGTCCATTCTCATGGGGACATGGAGGCAGAGAAGGGCAGGGCCACCCAGCAAGAGCGGAGGGATGCTCAGGCGAGGGGCAGGCAGGGGGACCTAGTGAGCAGTGTGCACCCTTCACTGTGGCACCCAGGTCCTCCCACCCACAGACAGGGAGCCCCCTGTCCTGAAAAAGCCACCAAGAGTGTTTTGGGGTGGTTGAGGGGATGAGCCGAGGCCATCCATCCTGAAAATACGGTGAGGGTAGGGGAGGGAGGGGACCCTGGAGACGGGGAAGGTGGCAGGGCTTGGGCCACCCAGGCTCTGGAAGACTGGGCAGACCTCCCCTGTGGGCGGCAGTAGGGGCTGAGCTCTCCTGAGGCAACATGGGGGAGGGGAGGCAGCAAGGCAGGTGACCTCAGCAGGGGCTCAGCAGGACATTCACAGTACAGGTGAGGGGGTGAGGTGATGTGGTCATCCTCCATTTTCGCATAACACTGATATTTGTGACCTGGTCTTTGGAACCTAACCGTATCGATAAGTGAGGAGTGGGGGTATATATACAATCAGTTGAGACACTGGTGGTTCAGTGGTGGAATTCTCACCTTCCATGCAGGAGGCACACTTTTTTTTTTTTTTTGGCCAGTTCAACTTTTTACAGGTGTACGATTTATTGACCAAAAACCAGTTGCTGTCGAGTTGACTCCAACTCATAACAACCCTATACAACAGAGCAGAACTGCCCCGCAGGGTTTCCAAGGAGCAGCAGGAAGATTCAAACTGCCGACCTTTTCATTAGCAGCTGTAGCTCTTAACAACTATGCCACCAGGGCTCCCAATTTACTCACACCAATTACAATAATTGGCTGTGCAACCCTACCCTTAATCAATGCAACATTTCCATCACCATTAACCCCCCTCTCCCCCTCCCTCCTGCCCTTTGTAGCACTAATAAACTTTGTTCTCTATACACTTGCCTTTTCTTGTCTTTTTATGTGAGGTCATACCATATCTATCGTTTTGTGATTGACTTATTTCACTCAGCATAACGTCTTCAAGCTTCATCCATATGTATCAAGACTTCATTTCTGCTACTGGCTGAGTAGTATTCCATTGTATGTATGTAGCACATTTGTTTTTCCATTCATCTATTGATGGGCATTTAGTTTATTTCCACCTTTTGGCTATTGTGAATAGTGCTGCACTTAACATTGGAATACAAGTGTCTGAGTATCTGCTTTCAAGTCTTTTAGGTATATACCTAGGAGTGGAATTGCTAGGTTATATGGTAGGTCTATTTTTAGTTTTTTGAGGAACTACCACACTGCTTTCCACAATGGCAGTGCCATTTTGCATTCCCATTTCTTTGGTGAAGTGTCTGTTCATTTCATTTGCTCATTTTTTAATTGGATTATTTGTCTTTTTGTTGTAGAGGTGTTGGATTTTTTCGTAGATTTTAGAGATTAGACCTTTGACCTGTAATGTCCAAAATTTTTTTTTCCAGTCTGTAGTTTCTCTTTTCACTCTTTTGGTGAAGTCTTTTGATGAGCATAAGTGTTTCATTTTTCGGAGATCCCAGTTATCTAGTTTATCTTCTGGAGTTTGTGTGTTGTTAGTTATATTTTGTATCCTGTTAATGCCGTGCATTAGGGCCTTTAGCGTTGATCCTATTTTTTCTTCTATGAACTTTATCATTTTTGGCTTCATATTTAGGTCTTTGATCCATTTTGAATTAGTTTTTGTATATGCTGTGAGGTATGGGTCCTGTTTCATTTTTTTTTTGCAGATGGACATCCAGTTTTGCCAGCACCATTTGTTAAAAAGACTGTCTTTTCCCCATTTGATGGACTTTGGGCCCTTGTTGAAGATC